GAGAGAGAGAGAGAGAGAGAGAGAGAGAGAGAGAGAGAGAGTGAAGAGCCTTTGTGGGGTCAGCTTGGGTATCTGAACATTACTATCCTGGAAACCAAACATTCCTATACTGCACTATGAACCCCGATTTACCCTCTTGAGAAGGTCTTCATTAAGATCACACCGACTCATATTTGTATCTTAAATTATATTAGATTTCAGCATCACTTACAGGTAAATATAACTGAAGCTCTGGAAGATTTCCTAATCCTGGCAAAGAAGATAATTTTGCTCTACTTTGTAGATTAGTTGACACTGTACAAATATGCAATTGCAGTTTATATACTGCCACAATTTTTGTCTATTTTTTTCCAGACTCTAATCCCTTTCCTCTTTTCCAAACAAGCATGCCAAAGGGTCTTGGCAAATATAGTCCTGTATTTATATATCATGTCATGAAGAACCATAAGGACTCAAGTCAAGATTGTAGTGGTAGGCTCCACATCCTGCCAGCTGCCTATCTCAGCAGGCAACTGTGGCCTCCTGCTGCGCTTTCCAAGAGTGGCAACTGAAGGGAGGAGAGTGCCTGAAAAAGCCAGGTGCTGAAGGAAGCAGCTGGCAGAGATGGAAGAGAGGTAGAGCTCCCTGTGAGTCCAGGAGAAGAGCAGCCAGATTGTGAAAGGTAAAACGATGGTTTAGAAAAGTCAAAGAAGGTTGTTAAAGCTATCATGGGGAGAGAGAAATGAAAGGTTTAAATCTGGAACAAAGGGAGAACGGTCTAACATCAGAAAAGGCTATTTGATGATAAAAAATGTGAGAGGGTCATAAAGAGGTGGCTTGAAGGAAAAATATGAAATTTGTACACAGCAAATCTGCACAGTGATTAATGGCAGAGACAGAAGAAGCACTGTTTTTGCAGGACCCTGCTTTGAGAGAAGGAGGCATTCTATCAAAATGTTTAGATTTTGCATTATTATTTTTAAAGTATTAGCTTGAGTATTCATGCAGCAGAACTAGGGGTGAAAGGTTGGTAACGTGGGTGGCACAATATTTATTTTGCAGATTCTCATTTGCATTTGTCAAAATGTAAACACAAAAACAAAACCCAGACAAACAAGCTCAGAGAGCATTCACACTCCCATTATGGTGCTTATTCATAAGCAAGCCAAATATTTGCAAGTGTGCTGCTGATATTTTCCAGTAACACATTTTGCTTGACAGTTTGCATCAATCATTCAGGTGCCAAAGTAATCATATTCCAGCATAACAGATATTGGCAGAATTAAACATATCATGGCAGTCTTGTCACTGCACAGAGAATCCCCATTATTAACCTGGGGAAACTAGGTGTCATGTGACAGGAACTGGACATGGGGAATACGTCTCTGCATACAAATGTATATTTCATCCATTTGGGCTGGGTTATAAAAGAGTTGTGTTTTTGTTGTTGTTTTACAGTAAAGACTAAACCCAAGATTCTAGTATTTAAGGGGAAATGTGCTAATGAGAGGCCTAAAAATTCAGCGCAAGAATTTAGGTTTTAGGAAGAAATGAGGTCACAGTAAGGTAATGTGTTCAGCCTAACATCTGGCAATTGCAAACAAATAGATACTTAACCAATATGCTAATCTCTTCTTCCAAGCTAAACAAGGAACAGCAGAGGGAAAATACTGAATTTACAGAGCTGGGGGAAAAAGTTGTTACAGTAGAAAAGATCAAAGCTTGAAATTGGGGTGAAATAGAATTTGAGAGACACTGAATTTAAAATAGATCATTGCTGCAGAAAGAACTGGTTGCATGTAGGGAACCCAGAATGGAAATTCTGACTTGAAAAGGTTAAAAATTGCTTTATTGGTACCAATATATTGTTTAGAATTGATGCAATTATTTTTTCTTATTTTTGCTTTTATTATTGGCTGAAATCCTGATTCACAAGTTATACTGCGTAAAGATCACGGCATCATCAGCTGAAGTGATTTTTTGAAAATAAAAAAATTCCAATTCCTCCCCAGGCTCTGTGGCTCCCATTGAATCCCTTTTGCTGTGGGCGAGATGTTGTGGGCTACAGGATGGGGGTGGGGTAGGTAGCCTTTAATTTCTGAAAATTGCTCCAGCTGGTAAAATCATCCCAGTAGTGGCAATTTTTGGAAGTTAAAGATTCTCCCACTCCTGTGCCTTCAACAGCTTTCCCAGGATGAAAGATATCTCAAGTGAGCCTTGGGGACTTTGAGGGGAAATTGGGAATGTTTAATTTCCAAAATGTTGCCTCAACTGATGACATTGTCAGCTTCACACAATGTAGTCACCTAAAAACAATTTTAGCCATTAAGTGTTCAATTTTTAAAAAACTTTTTTATTTGGTAACTGTATATTTTACAGCCATACTGAATCCTACAGTAAAAGGACATTTTCTTCTGAAATAGATTTAGAATTGATTTGCCCTGAGCCTGATTGCTAGGGAACAGTTGTGGGATTTGTGTTTAGTGGCCTGGTCAGGAAACATGAAACTACTGTGAATGGTTGGGGACTTGTGTTACACTGACATTATTGTGCACATAACGAGCAATTTTTAAATATTATTTTCATCTAATAGTAAGAAAGGCAAAACTCTAACTGCTTAGAGGCACTAATGGGCAGGGAATGGTCTAAAAATATGGTTTAATTTGGGCAAAATGGAGGTCCAAACTGGTCAAGAAAGAGAACATAGATTCAACCTGATTTGGATAGAGTGACCATTTTCTTGAATAATCAGGTTCACAGTCTAGTGGCTGGTTTGGCGTTACACCTTAAGATCAGATGGCAGCCATGGCCAGGAGTGTCTTTGGTCAATAGAGGCTGGTGATCCAGCTGCAAGAGCTCCTGAGGAGATCAGCTCTAAAAACAGTAATATTCCAAGTTAAACTGAGTTTGGATCACTGCAATAGATTTTTAGTGGGGTCCTCTTTGAAGATTCTTTGCAAGCTTCATTTGGTCCAGGATGAAACTGCCAGGAGGTCATATTGCATTACCAGTGCAACAGCTCTACTGGTTACAAATCTATTTCTGGGCAAAAGTCAAAGTGTTGGTAATCATTTTTAAAACCATGAATAGCTTAGGCCCAGGAAGGCTTCGTAACCACACTCTTCTATATCATCCTGTCTGAAGAAAACACCATTTTTCTGTGTCCTACTGAAGAAGGAAGTATATTTGAATGTGACATAAAATCTCTCAACAAATGCACCTGGAGTATGGACTGCCTGTGAGGTGCAATTGGTACTTTCCCTCATTACTTTCATCCATTTTTATTCTGGGAGGTTTTTACCATATGTAGCAAAAAATATTTTTGTTTATTTGCTTTGACTGCTGCTCCTGTTTCCTTTGTTGATGGTTGTTATGAAATGCTTTCCAACATCCTGGGTCATGAAAGAGCTTTAAAATGGATGAGGTATACCATAACTAAATGGCAATTATTTGTTTCAGCTGTGGCTTATAACTATATTACTGGCTTCCTTATCTACAGTACATTAGATAAGATATTTACACTCTGATATTTCAGTTTATTTATCCTTCACATGGCTTTAATAACTCTTTACTATAATTTTCTATGGTTATATCAGGTCTGTGAAAGAAACTATAACCACTACTGGACAATATCTGCAGGGCTACAACCAGAAAGTTAATTTCAGGCCTGAACTTTGTGTAAAAAGATTTCCCTGAACATTTATTAAAATGAATGGCATAGTTATTAATTCAACTTGGAATAGGAGAATTTTCTGGCCAAGAATTAGTACCGTGTTTCCCCGAAAACAAGACAAGGTCTTATATTATTTTTTTGCTCCAAAAAGGCATTAGGGCTCATTTTTAGGGGATGTTTAATTTTTTTTCATATATAACAATCTACATTTATTCAAATACAGTCATGTCATCTTCTTCTGGTTGCTGTACAGTGGTGGAGGGCAGGGTTTCATTTAACTAGGGCTTATTTTGGCATAGGCCTTATATCACGAGCATCCTGAAAAATCATACTAGGGCTTATTTTCAGGTTAGGTCTTATTTTTGGGAAAACAGGGTATATTATCATGTTTGGCATACATTTAAATTGAGAAAGAATCTACAAAGAACAAGAAGCTAGAAAATTCTGCTTCTCTGAATACCATTTGATGATTCCCAAAATGGGAAAGTGAAGCTTCAAAATCCTTTGGTGTAATTAAATGATTTTTTTTTTTTTTAGGCAGTGGTGGAAATCCTATTGCTTAATTACGGACATGGAAAACAAATTATGCATCATCCAGTCACTTCTACCTGGCAATTAATGAGTCCCTGTTAGGATTCTCAAGTGTATGCCAAGCCAGCAGGCCTCTAAGAATCCCAGTGGTGACTCATTAATTGCCAGCTAGAAGAGACTGAGTGTTACATTGTTTTTGCTCTGCATGTGTAACTAAGCAACAGGATTTCAGTCAGTGATTCCCAAATGTGGACCTCCAGAAATTCTTAGACTACAATTCCTTGAAGTTCATGCAAGCATAGCCAATGGTCAGTGCTCAAAATTGTAGTTCAAAAACATTTGAGGTACCAAGTTTGGGAACTACTGGTTAAGGTCTTTTGGGGATAATTATATATTGTTTCAACTAGTATTTTACAAATTCCTTTTCAAAACATCAGACACAGAAGGACTTAAACAAGTAGGAACTGTGCAGAATTATAAGGAAAGACATGGTGTTTTATATTATAATTGTATGCTAGAATCACTGGTGCATTATTTTTCACACTGAAAGACTAATGTGCAGAGTGCATCATCTTATATAGGGGCTTTTGTATAAGAATGATGAGGTGGAATTCAATAACTATATGCTGCATTTGTATTTTGCTGGGGTAAGAGACAGGCTAATGGACAGTACCTGCAGGGGTGAAGGTGAAGGACTGAACTGCAAAACAAGAAAAATAAATACAGTGTGAGTTAGAACCTGTTAAGAAGTGCCAATTAAAGGCCACATGTGTCCTTCAAAGATGACTTATGTATGTTGTTCAAAATCATGTGCATGTTGTAGCAATTCAGCTTTAAGCTCTAGCCAGCCAGCAGCCCATGAGGAGTAAGGAATTGGGGGCAGGGAAAGATGAATGACAATCTGACAGTCATATTTAACAGTAGCCAGTAATGTGGACATGCAATCTTTTTGTAGATGCTATGATTAGTTTGAAATGTAATTCTTTATGAGCTTTTATCATTAAGCAAATGCAACATCTGACAAGTCAGCCAAAAACCTTATAATACCATGAATGGCAATACCATATACGTAAGTATTTTGGGTGCAATGAGCCCATTACCACTGTTTCTCACTATTTTTGGTGCTGACCAATGGCAAATGGCGGTCAGCTAAAAATCAAAATTCCTAAATATTTCAAAAGGACTTTCTTCTGCAGTCCTATTTACATATATGGTAAAATCGGAGATTTTTAGATGATACAAGGCTATCCACTTGAACATGCTGTATTTCATAACACAGAAGCTAGCGTTCAATATATACATATTTCGTTAGCAATAAAGGAGTAAGCATGTTATGTATTTAGCACATCTGATGTTTATGAAAATCTAATGGTGAACAGTGCATATGTTAAATCCTAATGTTGTAATAACAATGGTCTAACATGAGAATGTGACACAACATTTCCTGTGATAGTGATATCAAAATATCTTAACTTCTAAACAAAACTTGGCAAACCACTTAAAAAGCAGAAAATATTAACATACATCAGCACATTTATTGAACACAAAAGAAGAAAACATGTGCAAAACATGTTTGAAAAATGTAGCTTCATTACCATGGTCATTTGGGCACCCTGTGTATAGTGAAGAAATCTACAGTACAGGAATCTAGTATACAGATGTGTATGCTATGCAACACAAGTAAGTCTCCTAGAATTGTTAAGACTGCATAATCAGGGTACTTTCTTTCTGGAAAATAACCTCAGCTGGAAATATATGTTTGTGATAAACCAAACCGCGTGTATTTGCTGTGAGTCGAACTGCAAACAGATACGACCCCACTTGTAACACTTGGCCCTATTGAAGCACTTGTTTCTTTGTTTCAATCAGTGTGTATATTGTTGCCATAGGCCTCTTGGGGGCTTGGCACAGTACATGATGTACCCCATTCCTGTCCTCTTTTGATTTTTTTAAAATTGTATTTATGTGTATTTTTGGATGTGCAGGAAGCCTCGTGGCGCAGTGGTTAGAACGCTGTACTGCAGCTAAAACTGTGCTCACGACCTGGGGTTCAAATCCCAGGTAGCCGGCTCAAGGTTGACTCAGTCTTCCATCCTTCTGAGGTCGGTAAAATGAGTACCCAGCTTGCTGGGGGGGGGCAAGGTGTAGCCTGTATAATTAAATTGTAAACCGCCCGGAGAGTGCTTGTAGCACTATGGGGCGGTATATAAGTCCAATAAATAAATAAATAAATCACCGGTTAAAAATAAAGAAATCACACATCCTTATGTGCAAAGGAGAACAAATGTGAAGAAACAATGGTGGTGGAGAGGTGATCAAGGAGGACGGTTAATAGGGGAGGTGGTGAAAGGTTAGGCAGACAATTGGTGAGAAAAGGAGGCAGTTCTTTAGCACCCTTTAGTACACTATGGTGTACAGTATCTGTAAAAAACAGAGCAGAAAAGAATAGGCACTACTTTGAACTATGAGTATCTGTAAAAAACAGAGCAGAAAAGAACAGGCACTACTTTGAACTATTTGACATCATGTGATATGGCAGAAGTCACTGTGGATTCAATCCGTTTTTTCCAGAGCATGTAGTGCCAATTTGGCTACGGTGCCAAATTGCTGTCAGAATTCTATAGAAATTTACAGTTTAATAAGAGTTGTCTTATTCAAGTGCTTGGTGTTCAGTAGTTTTGCTTCCTATTAATCCATGCACAAAAGATTATGACGGGATGAATTTAAAGGCCCTTCATACTGCGCTGAATTAATATGAAATAAGGGCCATGTGATTCATGGCATTTTAGATTTCTAGATCTGTTTCCATTTATTCATGGTCTAAGGCGGGAATATTTGCATTTACTTCCAAGCACTAAAATAGATTGCACCTCAGCTAGCTCTATTTACCTGCTGGAAACCACCATGTTAAGTCATGGCTAAAATAAGGTATTTTAAACAGGACTTATTCAGTAACGTTGGAAACATAAGTTCTAATTTTGTTCTTTTCTTGTTCATTTTTTTTTTTTGCATGCAACAGGTTTCTGGTTTTATTTAATACTGGACTTCAACAAATTTACACATCCTTCATGAAGACCTGAATGGAGATCTATATTTAAAATTCTGTACTATCTCAGACTCATTTTCTGAGAAGTATCTTGGGGACTGATAAAAATACTGCCGTTTGTGAGGCTAGGGCAGAAACAGCTTTTCACTCTCTCTATAGTTACTCAGTGACTAAGGTTATCACCTATTGGATGACAGCTCAGAGAATGCATTCATATAGACTTCCCAAGCTCTGCTTAGTAGAACAGATGGGTTTGGCTTTGCCCAATTCCTGGGTTGGCCAACTTACCAAGCACAATATGGATCAATATGGATTCTCCAGTCAATATTTATTTTCAAAAGGCCCTCAGGCAAAAGAAATTTTGAAACAAAGAGTCCATGATATTAGTGCTCAAACGGATATCGAACTGTTTTCTAAGAAAAAAAATCCTTAGGTTGTTTATCGAAGAACAAAATTGGTTTTCAGTCTGAGAAATATTTAGAAATAAACTATTGAAGATATTACACATATTTTATTTGACTGTGAGCTATATTCCACTGCTAGGCAAAACTATTTATCCACCCTGCTGGGGAAAACAACTCATTGGAATGTGAACTTCAGACTTTCATATTTTCTTCAGAGTGCCAATACAAAAGTTGTCTGCAATATAGCAACATTTATATCTAAGGCGACGGGCATAAGATCTCATTACATTGATCAAATAGGGGTTCCCTGCAGGGGTCAATCACTCAATTAAAATATGTACATTTTGTTTTTATTTTTATGTATATTTTACTATTGAAATGTATTTTATCTCATTTTAGCTGTTTATTTTGGATCTGTGCGATTTGTACGCTTTTTGATATGGTCAAAATTGACTAACCAAATAAATAAATATATACATGGTCTATACTGTCTTAGATCAGCTGTACTCATGTGAATATTAAACAATTGTTTTAGCAATAATAATGTTGTATAGAGCAATGTGTTGAAAGTCCATGTTCCTGCTCTTTTGCAGACTACAGAGAAAGCACACAGCTTTCACCCATTCCTTCTCTTCTTTCTTGATTTAGCCATGTTTGTGCCTAACACGACATTATAAAGTAATTTCTATTCTTACCTGCATAATTGCTGAGTCCCTTCCTCTTCTTTCTGCGCCAGTACAGCCAGATGCTGAAACCCATGAGTATTACCCAGCAAGCACCACCAATTCCAGCTATAAAGGCCGGCTGCTTGACGACATCTGTGATTTGCTCTGTTATGCTATTATTGTTTTCTGTGATGACAACTTCATTACGACCTCCTGGTTAAATAAAGACCGTACCAAGCAATGTTAGTAATGGCGGGGGACAAAGCTGATGCAGATTCCTAAGTATGCCTTAAAGCAGAAATTGTGAACTGGTTAACAAATGGGACCTCAATACATTTTGCCCTTGGCACATGTTAGGAAGATGCAGTAAAACATTTGCCTATAGTCTCATTAACAAGGAAAAGGAAATCGCTTTTAAGGAGATATTGGGCAAAATCTTGATGCTGTAGTTACACGGGTGTAAACTGGATTGTGGTGCCAGAAATAATTAATGGAAAGCTTCCTATCCCAGTCTATCAGGTTCTCCGGCCCCCTTGGGCTCCCTTTCGCCAGCTTTTGGGAGCTTCAGGCTGGGTTGCGGGGGAAGAGATTTTAATAGAGAAAAAACCACCACAAACACAGTGGCAACAATTTGTCAGCTATTTTTTCTCCTCCCCCCCCTTCTACTACTAAAGGCTTCCCTTCCCCATCCCAACACTCCTAAACATTTCCCCAGGGCAAAAGAGAGTCCAGGGGATGCTTGGGATCTGCAACAGGCAGATAGAAAGCTTTCAATTTAAGTTAATTATTTCTATTGCCCTGATCCAATTTACGCTGGCAGAATTTTGCCCATTGAGATATCTGTCGATTCAATATATATTCACGTATGTTATATGATTTTTTAGTTTTCAAAGAGGTATTCATGTTATTCCACAAAAACACACTGAAGTAAACCTGTTAGTCTTTAAGGTGTTGAAACTTTTTTGTTTTTATTTCTGTTACACACAATATTTTAAATGTGCACAGTGTGTAACAAAATATAAATCCTGTCCCCACCTGTTTTGTTCCTGACTCATTTCAAGGCAGGGAACAAAGTTCTACAGGTCAAAACAACAGAAAGATGGGAAGAAAATGAAGACAGTATTTGGACAAATGAAACCAAAACTTCATGTTTCCAGCTGGAGCATCAAAATCTCTTCATTTATCACATCGTTTTATTTATTTTTCACAAAAAATAAACAAAGAACTATTGCAATACCACCCCCTACATGAATCTTCTGTAGCTGATGAATGGGAGCAAAAAGCATGCAAAAGCCAGCATAGAAGGAAATGATGCCTCAAGAGTGCAAATTAATCATAAAATAGTTACAGACCTCCTAATGAGCAATACAAATTATCTGTAACAGAAAGCATATGTGGAGTGACCTTGTTTGGGAAGTCACTCAGTTTCTACAGATGCTATATTTCCTCTCTTTCGTAGAATAACTGGACACACACCAAACACCCAGTCTAAAAAGCTGCTAGCCAGTAAATGACAGTGTGGGGCCCCAACACTGGCAAATACTGCAATTAACTAGTTGTTTGAATAGCTCTGATAAATTAGGCTCTTTTCCAGGTTCTGTCACAGAATGCAAACAATTCTGTAGTCATTAAGATGTCTAATCCCCAATATAAGCTCTTTCTCTTACAAATTAATCCTGCATTTTGTGGCAAGATAGGTTCCATTACATAGCTTTAAAAAAACCCTATTTACAGCCCTTTGATACAGATCCAGCTATATTCTCCTTATTTATTGAAATATGTGTCAAGGCATCAAGTATTTGAAGCCCTTTGGTAATTCAGTGTCATATTTCTTTTATTTCAGACAATAAATATTTGCTTTAATAAATCTCTCTTCTTATTATCCAGGCTGTAGAATGTGTGTGAAGTTATGGCAAAGGTCTAAAAAGGTTAAAATGTCATATTCATTAATTTGTGTGTGTTTTTTTAACTATTTGGTTCAGACCAGAGTTAAGGCTCTCTTGTGTTGGTTCATGGACTATAAAGGCAGAAAATTAGAAACCAAGACTCATGCCTTAACAGATATGCCTTGTGATCAGGAAGTACTATGTGTAGTGTCATAAACGGTGCATGGTTACACCTTATCTTCCATATACGTATATACTGTATTCCTTAGGTCTTCTAGGACCAAATCCAGATGAGAAGAATTACATGACTGGGATCAGGAAAGATACTTGAATTGTGATTCCTGTATTGCCTCAAGAAGCATCCAAATCATGTCATATTGCTAAAGGAATCTTCCTGGGAGTTAACACGTCTCACAACTCTCTAGATTCTACACCAGCCAAATGTTTGTAGGGTTTTTTGGCTGTGTGATGCCTATACAAAGTGCGACATTTTCATAAAATTGCCTCTGGCTAACAACACAGGTAAGAGAGAGCAAATCGCCTTCTAGAAACCAAATAGGAATATTCCATTTTAACAAAAAGTATATAGAAGAATTTGTAACATCTTTGTTCCAGGAGAAAGACTAATTATGTTTTAATTTCACAATTTTTAAAGGGTTTTAATGTATATATGCAATATTTCTCTACTTAGATGTTATTTGCCATCCACCAATTTAAAAACCACAAAACATTATTTTTTGATAGAAAATGTGCTATAAAAATACAACTATCCTCCAATGCATTGTCAGGGAGCTAGATCCCAAAGAGCAAATGTACTAACACACACCTAAAATCTTGACCAGCAACTGGAGAACCTTCAAAAGACCATATACAGCTGAGATTCACTGGCAATCATTAGCAAAAATCTAATGACAGAATAAATGTGATAGTGTCATGTGAGACCAGGTTGACCCCTCTGCTGTCTTTCAGTTGGCAGGCAAAGTTCTTTATTTTTATGTAGACTTTTAATAAATAAATAATAAATAAATCACTGCTAAGGAAGGGGTTAATGGGGTAGTTGTATCCATCTTTTAAAATGTCTTTCTCTATTATTTTAAGTGTTTTCTGCAATATGTTTAAAAGCTGAATATGTTTTTTAAAATTTTTTTGTAAACCACCTTGGGTCCTCTGTTGGAAGAAAGTTTGGTAAGTAAGTAAGTAAGTAAGTAAGTAAGTAAGTAAGTAAGTAAGTAAGTAAGTAAGTAAGTAAGTAAGTAAGTAAGTAAGTAAGTAAGTTAAGTAAGTAAGTAAGTAAGTAAGTAAGTAAGTAGTTCAGTTGTTTACATGCCTCAGCACTGAAGATATTTAAGGCCTCATCATAGTGAAATATAGGATTATAAAGATGATACTACTTTAAATGAAATATTTTGAAAATATAGTGATCAAACCTGAAGAAATTTGATTAGCACAAGCAGCTCATGATAAGTAGACTGCCCCTCGCAGGCACTCTCAGGTCCACATGATGTCCCTGCTGGGTAGTGTTTTCTAATGATATTTCTACCCAAAGTGTTTATAATCTTTCTCTCTCTAGTAACTGGGATTGTTTGTGAAAAAATGCATTTTGTATTTTTCTCTTTTGATTAGCCAAGTCTATGCTAAGCATTCACACTCTAAAATAATTGGATCTTAATTAGTAGTCGTGGGATTTTCATTTTTTTCTTTCTTTGTATTGCAACCCACATAATTCACCAGGAGTTCTCCCAACCAGAATTCTGAGAGCTATAGGCAAGAAATCAAAGTCTTCAGGGGTGTTTCCAGTCACTCAAAGGTGTAGACCTCAGAAAGGCTCCCTAGTGACCTTTGCTTTGGCTGTTAAGAAGAAGGAAATGGCTGTCTGAGCTGCAGGGGAGCCACAAAGGGTTATGGGACTGGTAGATGCACCCTATACAGAGTATAATGGCCAGAGAGACTACAAGTCCCTGAACTCCTTGCAGCTCCCCTACAGCTTAGCATCTCCCAGCCTTCTTCACAGCTAAAACTGGGGAGACTTTCCAAGACCTATACTTGTGATTGCCTGAAAACACCTTTGGGCACTTTGATTTCTTGCCTATGACTTTCAGAATTTTGGGTGGGGGAATTCTTAGTGAATTCTGGGATTGCAGTGCAAAAAATACAAAAGTCCCATGCTGGTTAATTAGAGTGTAAGTAAAGTCTTCTTGGCTATGCTTTATAAAGATGAAATGTCTAATTTCAAAGACAGCAAGTTTGAGGCTCAAACTAAGTTAATACTTTTAGCTCATGGGTAAATGAATATCTTCCTAATACATAGTAACTGGAAGCAGCATATAGAAACAAGTTAGTTCTGATGTCCTACAGTTCAGTTCAGCTTTGTTAGGCCTATTGTCTCAGGTTTGGCATTGGCATAACTGCTCTTAAGTCACACAAAAGCAAGACAACAGAAGCTGAGATGAAACTGAGAGACTATAGAACTGTATTCTCATATAAGTAGTGTGTGTTAAATTCAATATGTCAACACTGCCATGGGTTTTCAAATGAAACGTTGCTGCTTCAAATCCAGTGAATAGTTACAATGCTTTTCATAACAGTTACAACCTGCTTGCTGTTTATAGTACATGGATCTGAAAGCGAATCTTTGAAATCCAGGAGAATTCAGCAGCCGCCGGACGGGCGTTTTGCGCCCTGGAACGGCGTGGCTGGCTTTTGCCCCAACGTCCCCGGATGAAGCGAGAACGTTGGGGACACGTGGGCATGTTGGGAGGGGGAGCTCGCCTATTTAAGCGAGCTTTCCCCGATGTTCGCCCTCTTCCCGTTTTGGGTGGCTTTGCGAGTGAGCGAGCGGCATTGCGAGCGAGCGAGCTACATTGCGGGCTGTTTTTTATAAATGAGAGCTTTACGGTCGATCTTGTGGGCTTAGGAGGGGGTTGTTCCCTCAGCCCTAGTTTACAAGTCACGTCACAGTATCATCCTGACCCATTTTAAGCGGGCTGTTTCTCTTCTTTGATTTATAATTAAGGGCTGTACGGGCGGTGGAAAGGAAGAAGAGAGGGCGGCGGCGCCCCGTTGCGACGGGTCGAACTTTCATTTAGCTCCTTGTTTAATTACGTTCATTGCCCTCTTTTTAAGGAGTTTCTTTCAGTTTATGTGCTTAGGGTTCCTTTTCTGGTGCTTTGAGTTAGTTAGCCCGCCATTTTCTTAATTTGACAGTTGAGTTCGCTCAGGGGGTTCCTTTTCTGGTGTTTTTACTTTTAATCATTTTAAGTTCATTGCCCTCTCTTAATTTGAGAATTTTCGGTTTTATTGGGTTACTTCTGCATTTAAGAAACAGGC